CTTGCCTAACACGCCAAAATTTAACTTCTTCTTTATTTATTCCCCAAGTTAAAAGAAAAAGAAAAAAAAATCACGAACCAACCAAAAGATAATAAAATCACGTAAACCCTAATAAAGTTTTCTCCATATAGTCGGAGATGATGATGATGAGAGGGACGCAGATTCTTCGCCAACAGGCGAGGCGCATTCTCGCTAATAGTAACAGAAGCTGTTTGTTTCGTCGCTCCTACAATACTCTACCGAGTCAAATCAAGCCCGATTTAGAATAATGGGTGGTGAAACAAGGGAATCAAGTGAAGCCCTCTTACGTAAGACGCCTCATCAAGAGTCTCCATGACACCAAACACTCTTCTCAAGGCACTTGAGGTTTTCGATTTTGATCTTTTAATATCTGATTCGCGTAGTCTTTAATATAGGTTTCTAATATGATCTTTGTAATGTGTTAGGCATCGGAGTGGATGTGTGAACAGAGGGTCTTTAATGTTTTTTCCGAAGATTATGCAGCTCGCCTTCGTCTAGTTGAGACTGTTCTTGGTTTGGAAGAAGCCGACAAGTTCTTCAAAAGCATCCCCGAGAACATGAGGGATTACTCTGTCTACAACACTCTCTTGGGATCTTACACTAGATCTGAGAAAACACTAGACAAAGCCGAGTCCACGTTTGAGACGATGAGAGATCTCGGTTTCCTCTTGAAACATTCTCCGTACAACTCTGATGATTTCTCTCTACGAACAGCTCAAGAAACAAGATATGGTCGAGAAGCTTCAACGTGAGCTGAAGGAGAACAATGTGGAGGAGATGGAGAACTCTAAAACGACGTCGATTGATGAGAAACTAAAGGAAGACATATCTCTTTGGGATGAGTACAAGAAGAATGGAAAGGTGAAGGATGATTAGCTCTTTATTGAAGCTTAACAATGTACAAGAAGAAGTATGGAGAGTGGTACCCAAATGGACCGGAGTTGGATATGAGCATACCGGATTTGCTGATTTCCCGGTTTCGCGCGGAAGGGAACGAATCTAAGGTTGAGGAATTGGTCAAGTCGATAAGAAAGAAGAAGATGTTGAAGAAACTAAAGATGGTAGTAGTACGTTTGGGG